CGTTAAAAGGGTTTTTTCGGCTGGATTCGCCTGCATCCCGCAGCCGCGTCACCTGGCTAGCGCTGTCTGCATTTCTTGCTCGTTTTCTTTCCAAGTTTTTGCCCTGTGCCCCCTTTTTAGTGACTTCTTTCCTTTTCTTAATTAAATTAATTATATTTAACTCTTTTTTAATTAATTAATTTATTTGTTTCTTCATTTGCAGCCTTAAATCCCCTCTTCGTTGGCGTGGATGCGCCGCCTCGCTGAGGTGTACATACACCTCGTGTTTATTCGTTCTCGGCGTTGCAGCTCTCCAAACGAGACAAAACTGCCTTATAATCTATCACTATTAACTATTCTTTTTGTTAATTATTAATTATTAATCATAAATAGCCAAAAACTTAGCAGGGGGCCCCTCATTTGCTGCTGGCTGCACTGCCTCAGGCTTCCCAGATAAGGAAATGAGAATGGCTGGGGGCCCCCCGGCGAGGCCAACGCCAAGGCACAGAGGGGCCCCCCGGGGGCCCCAGCTAGCTGAGGGTCTGTAGCTTTAAAAGATGGTCAAAAAAATAACTTTTGAGGTTTCTGGAGGGCCCCTTTATTCTATAGAGATGTGCTGCAGCCTGCAGGGGCCAGAGCCATTTTGCTGCAGCCTCTGCATGCGCCCAAAGCAGCGGAGAAAGCCGCTTTTCTCCCACAAAACCCCAAACCCTAAACCCTAAACCCTAAACCCTAAACCCTAGGCTGTTGTTGGCAGCTGTTTGCTGCTGCCTTTTCATCTCTGCTGCTGTCCTTGAGCCACTCCAAATGCCAAGATATTACTGGCTAGGGTTTTGTGGGGCCCCATTTCAATACCCAGAACAAACCCTTTTATTCTTTTAAAGAAGATGCGCACTGGCCGAGGGTTTAGGGTTTAGAGTTTGGGGTTTAGGGTTTTGGGATTGTCTGTCCCTTTGTTGCTGCCCTTTGCAGCCTAGGGTTTAGGGTTTAGGGTTTAGAGTTTGGGGTTTAGGGTTTAGGGTTTGTCTGTTCCTTCTTGCTGTGCTGCTGCAGCACTTCGTTTCGCACAGCTTCAGACTGCAGCAATGAGGTGTATGTACATGGCAAGAATTGTAAATGTGGGGTTTTGAGAAAATAATTTTCACAAGAATTAAAATTAAAAAAATTTTTAAAAGTAAACTTTTTAATACAAGTGCTTTATAGGAATGCTTGCATGCAGATTTATATTTAAAGATGTGGATTTATATTTCTTTGCAACTGCACAAATATAAAAAAGTATTTTAATGTTTATTTAGATGTTAGCATGCATATTTATATTTAAAAATGTGCATTTATATTTCTTTGCCGCTGCATAAATATAAAATAAAAAAATCATTTTAATGTTTATTTAGACCTGTTCAGCTGTACAGACACAACAGCAAGCATGCACTGCCCCTTGGAAGCAGCAGCTCGGAGACAAAAGAATTATTTGTTTAATTATTTAATTAATTATTTATTTGACTATTTATTTAATTGCTCATTTGATTATTCATTTAAATTTTGTAGAGTCGTTTTCAAATAAATGCCAAACTCAAATAGTCGTTGCAGCTGAGGTGTACGTACACCTCATTCAAATTTACAAATGCCGCAGACCCTGCAGGCCTGCTTGGGGTGTACGTACACCTGAAGGCAGCTGCATGCGCCAAATCTCGGGTGTACAGATAGCTGCATGCACCAAACTCAAGTGTACAGACATCTGCATGCAGCAGATTCAGGTGTACAGACAGCTGCATGCAGCAGATTCAAATAGGCAGACATCTGCATGCAGCGAATTCAAGTGTACAGACAGCTGCATGCAGCAGATTCAAATATGCAGACAGCTGCATGCAGCACATTCGAGTGTACAGACAGCTGCATGCAGCATATTCAGGTGTACAGACAGCTGCATGCAGCAGATCCAAATATGCAGACAGCTGCATGCAGCAGATTCACGTGTGCAGACAGCTGCATGCAGCAGACTGAGGTGTACAGACAGCTGCATGCAGCAGACTGAGGTGTACAGACAGCTGCATGCAGCATATTCAGGTGTACAGACAGCTGCATGCAGCACATTCAGGTGTACAGACAGCTGGAGGCCTGCGCACCGAGCATGCAGCTCTGCATGCGGGGGAGGCGAAGGCCTCGGAAGAAGTGGAAAATGAAAAATAAATAAATGGACAAGAATGGAAGAAGAAGTGGCAGCAAGGCTGTCAAGAAGGGGCCCCCGAGGGGCCCCGGGGACCCCGGGGGCCCCCCCGGGGGCCCCCCAGGGGGCCCCCCAGGGGGCCCCACCCCAACACCCCCGGGGGGCCCCACCCCAAGACCCCCCGCAGCGCAGCCCGCAGGGGCCCCGAGGCCCGGGGCCCCTCGAGGAGTTTTTGGAGTTCTTTTCGAATTAATTTTCTTTGATCTCTTTTGAGTCTTCGCCAGCCCCTGAAGAGCTGCGCGCCGCGGAGCGCCAGCGGGCTCCCCACTTCGTCCAGCTGCGCCAAACCCCAAACCCTAAACCCTAAACCCTAAACCCTAAACCCTAAACCCTAAACCCTCAGCCCGAGTCTACCGCCAGCTGCCCCGGTGCGCACGCCCCAGCGAACAGCCCCGCAGCGAGCACCAAGAAGCGCCCAGCCCCCAACACGCACTAGGGTTCAGGGTTTAGGGTTTAGGGTTTAGGGTTTAGGGTTTAGGGTTTAGGGTTTGCGGGCCTTGAGGATGACGGCTGCGAGGAGGCGGTAGCCGGCGCCGTCGCTGCGGTGGAAGTGGCGCGGGTTGGTCTTCACGAAGTCAAACACCAAATGGTTTACAGATTCGAAATTAAAAAAAGAAAAAGAAAAATGTTTTAACAACTCCGAAATTCTCTCCACAGTGTCCGGCAGGTCTGCGCTCGCCTGCACGCTGAACCACCCGTTCAGCAGCCGCTGGTCCCCTAAAAGCAAGCAACAAACCCTAAACCCTAAACCCTAAACCCTAAACCCTAGCCCAAAGGCACCCACAAGCCCTCCAGAGGCCCCGAGGGGCCCCCAACGCCCCCACAGGCTCCCCGGGGCCCCCCGGGGCCCCTGGGGGCCCCTAAGAGCCCCTGGGAACCCCTGGGGGCCCCCGGGGCCCCCTGGAGTCCCTGGGGGCCCCCAAGAGCCCCTGGGGGCCCCCAAGAGCCCCTGGGAGCCCCTGGGGGCCCCCAAGAGCCCCTGGGAGCCCCTGGGGGCCCCCAAGAGCCCCTGAGGGCCCGCGGGGGCCCCTGGGGGCCCCTGGGGGCCCCTGGGGGCCCCTGGGGGCCCCTGTGTTTGGGGACTGACCCTGGGCGCGTTCGAAGAACTGGGCGAAGGCCTGCTGGCGCTGGGGCTGCTGCATGCTGGCGAGGGCCTCGAGGGCGAAGTACTTGTCAGTGAGGCACTGGGCAGAGTTGAAGTAACTGAAGGCCCTTGCTGCTGCTGCTGCGTCTCTCTTCTCCGACAGCAGCAGCAGCACGCTGTTCCGCAGCCGCCGCCGGCCCAGCTCTTCCGGCAGCTGGCAGCGGCTGCTGAAGCTCCACCCGGGCTCCGGGGGGCCCCCGGGGGGCCCCCGGGGGGCCCCCGGGGGCCCCCCGGGGGCCCCCAGAAGCCCCTCCGGGGACCCCTCCGGGGCCCCCAGGGGCCCCTCCGGGGCCCCCAGGGGCCCCTCCGGGGCCCCCAGGGGCCCCAGGGGGCCCCCCAGGGGCCCCTCCGGGGGGTAGGAGACGGAGAGGGCCTCGTAGAGAGCCAGGAGGTCCTCCTCGAGGGCCTCGAGGAGCTCCAGCAGCACTGAGCGCCGAGCCAGCCAGAGGGCCTCGGGGTCCATTGGTCTGAACCTCTCGGCGAGTTCGGAGGCCTTGGGGAGCGAGAGCGCGAGGGCCTGCGGTGTACGTACACCCCACACGCCGGCCTCCACACCCCGCAGCAGCAGCAGCAGCAGCAGCAGCAGCAGCAGCAGCAGCAGCAGCGGCAGCAGCAGCAGCGGCGGACCTTGAGGGAGGGCGGGGCGTTGGGGTCTGCAAGAAGCGTCTTAACAGCAGCAATGAACTCCGGCGGCAAGGGCCTCAGCCCTCCGCCGTGGCCCCCGGGGGCCCCCCGTTCCCCGGGGGCCCCCGGCAGCCGCGCGAGGGCCGCGCGGGAGTGCAGCAAAGAGTCGTGGAGGGCCCTGGCGGCAGAGGCCAGGACCAGCGGCTCGCGCTCGTGGGCCAGCAGAAATGACCAGTGGTCCACTGAGTGGTCCACTGGGAGGCTTTGGAGGACTCGGGAGTTGGCCAGGAGGCCCCGCGGGAGGGAAAGCAGGCTGGGCTCCAACACGCCAGAGACCGAGAAGCTCTCCCGCTCGCGGCCCAATAACACCACCTGCAGGCCCACCAAAGGCTGGCTAGCTGGCTAGCTAGCTGGCTAGCTAGCTGGCTAGCTAGCTGGCTAGCTGGGTGGGTGGGGGG